CGATTCAAATGGCCTTTAGAAAAAGCCGTTCTATTTAAAAGGCAATGCAGCCGACCGACCGACCGACCGAACAAGCGAGTGTGCGAGTGAGAGCCAGCACGAGAAAGAGAATATCGACGAACTTTGCATGAGTTTGTTTATGAGGGTGAAAAGATACCACAATTCCGTTCGAATTTTTTCAATGTTCATTGTCACTTTTTCCATTCGAATGTGAAACAAAAGCCATCAAAAGTGCCAAGAAGGAAAGGGAAAAAAACTGTCATCGGCGACGTCAACGAATGCAGTTTCACACAATGGAATTATGGTGGTGGTATGATGTGCCGTTTTCTTTGTACTTTGAAATGCGAAAAACAATGCAAAAAATTATCCGCTTTTGTGATAAACATTTTTTTTTCTTCATTTTACTGGGCTTTCTGTTTGTATGTGCAGCGAAAAAAAGGTGACTGAACAAGAGGATTGGCGCTTCAGTGCAGCGCAAAGTCGAAGTTATGAAAATAGACTCGAAAACCGGAACAAATAAGTGGCCACTAAAGATTAAACCGCATGAATGACCCTTTTCTTTGGCGTTGGCACATCGCAGAAGCTGCTCATATCTTGCACACAGGGCTGCCTTTTATCCGCGCTTTTCTTTTCAATCCATTCACACAGACACACACTCACTCACAGAGGCGCAAAGGCACAAAGGCCGTTCGGAATCCGGCCGTTTGAGTCGCGCTCGCTCTTTTTTTCTTCGACATTTTGAACTGATTTTCTTTTTCGATAAGTTTCTTTTCTTCAAAATGCGCTTGAAACATTTCTTTTGATTGAATTTCGGCCCATTCGACAATTGTGCAGCGTAGCTCATTCGGCGAATCAAGAATGTCACATTATTGCGTGAAATCGAATAATTTACGAAGTTCCACCATGAAAAGAGGAGAAAAAATAACTGCAAAATAGAACACACATTTGATTTGCACCGACAACGTGTTAACGCGTGATTAATTTATAAGCGATTGACAAATGAGCAAATGACGGCAATTAAAGTGACTGTAAACAACGCCTCAATGATGTAAGTGCTAATTATTTACAAGTCGTTCAGAATCACTTTTCCTTTGTAATGCACGACAGGGCATAAATCAAAAAAAGTCAGCCGCACATTTATCTTGTGTGACCAGTGCAGCTATAACACACTAAATAGACTTCGCACCGCAAAATATTATTTCAATAAATCGCTTCGGCATTTTTTTTTTTCATGTCAATTTTTCCTTTTGAACAAATAAAAAGTACGCGGAATTTGAATAAATATTCACGCTTCGAGCCGCGAATTCAATGCATGCAAATTGTTTATGTAAGGCGCACAAGAACACCGAGACCATTTGAGCTGGTGTGTGTGTATGTGTGCAATGTTTCTCTTTCTGGATAAATTATGTGTGCGACACATTCTAAAGCATATATGTATGAGCGCACCGATCACCGGCAATCACTCTTCCATTCGGTAATAACCATAATTTCAGCATCGATGCACATTCGGCAATGTTTGCCTAAGAAGAACCGCATGTCAATCGACATGGCGATATATTATGTAGTGCATTACATTGATTGTGTGTCGGCTTGACGCGTCTCGCTGCAATCGCATGAAGAAGATTTAAGCGATCATCGCGAGAGCCAACGAGAAGAGAAAAAAAATGCAAATCAAGTGTGTTTCGGTGTAGCTACACTTTATACGGTGCCATTAATACCATTTTTATGCACTCGATTTTGAGCACTTTATTTACTTGTAACGTTGGTTGCATTGCTCAAGCCACAAGAAGATCATCGATTTATCCATTCTCCGTGCCAACAATAAATTCAACAGGCAATGTGAGCGTTGACATCATCATCGTATTTTTCCATTTAATACGAATTAACATACAAAGCGATCATAAATTTTCGTGTAAATTTGAATTAGGCTCTCACTTGTGTGAGTGCGCTCGTTGCCTTTTATTTGCGCTTCGCCATTGGCGTTGCGTTCGGATCGTTCGATGAATGGTACTAGTTTTTGTTTTGTTTTCATTTTCGGTTAAACAATAATATACGTGTAAAAAACAATCAACAAACACACTTGGTCTATTTGGCAGTGAGAATGCAATCTCCTAACCGAAAAAGAAAGCAAAATGTCTTCACCAAAATGATCTTCTATCAACACGTAGTACGTTCACATTTTGCATTGATTTCTCAATGGCTCGGCATCGGCTTGTTTCTATTGCCATTTAATTTGCATATTTAGACACGCCGAATAAGAAAAATTTGCTTTGAACTATTGTAATGAAAAGAGGCCGTTTTGTTGTTGTTTTTTTCTTTTTCGGCCGTCGCCATTCACCGAACGCGATTAATAACGTAACAGTGGTAAGTGTTTGAGTTGCATGCAATTTCTTCTCTTCGTGAATGCGCACGCTGACATTAAACAAATAGTAGAAAATGATTGAGGCTGCACGGATTGAACGAGGTTCTGTCATCGGAATCGATCGTTTTGGTCAACATATATTGTTATTAAACGAGGCTGAATGAGCCGCGATATGCAAAGTGAACGTGGTCGGTAATGACGATTCGATGCAAATACTTCACAAAATCGTTCATCTCATTTAAAATTCATCACAAAATAAAACCAAGCGGTCGCGCTCACTCCAAACAATGAGCGTGCGCTCGTATGCTCGCTCGCTCCCAAGAAACAAACAATATGACCGCAAAATAATGGAAAAAACATGAAATTATTTCCAACGAATTTATCATTTATCGATATATTATACAAATAGCCTGTATTTATAACTGTGAAACACGTAAAATCGAAATGTGCGCCGGTATGTGCAGGCGGGTAGATTCAAATTGTGTGCGCGGTGCATTGCCATCGAAAACCGAATGACACCAGATCGGTCAAAAGAGAAGACAATAATGTAATCTTGATTTGAACTCCTTTTGCCGCATAAATGAACCAAATAATGAAATTCAATTGTGCTATTGTAAAATGTCTGTATTTACACTAGCACACACACCTCGTCATCTCTTATAATCAAGAGCACTGCAATCGATGATGAAGGGAATTGCAGCGCGTTGCCCATGCGAATGACTACAAAAAATATAAATACACTCATCTCGCTCACTCTGCGGGCAAAAAATGCTATGAACAAAAAAAATTGGATAAATTCTGTTGAATTATTAATATTTGCGTCGTTTCTTTTTCTATATTTCACTTCTATTTGGTGTGTGAGTGGATGTTCGACGCGTAGATTTTGCGATGCCGACTGTTTGGTTTGCCTGTATAATTTTACATGATTTAGATTGAGTCATTACATTTAATGTTTGAACGGAGTGTTTATGAGATACATTACAATGGAATCGATGCGAGAGACCAGTCGAAAATGTTGCTGCGTATGTGTTTCCGACGCAGTCAATAGCCGTGAACATTGAGTGGGTTTTTTGAATGTAGCCGCACATCGACTTTAATTATTGGTTGAAAGAGAAACACATTTAACCGAGACAATTGGGAAAATTGATTCCAAGGTGTGCGAATTACGAACGCAACGAATGTGTATTAAATGATAAAATGTGTAATTTTGTTTCATTTTTTTCCTCTCTTGTTGCGTTCTCCATTCGAATTGATTACACGTTTAATGTGCGGCATCGATGCAGCAAGTCTCCTCGAGTAAGAGGTGGTCGAGCATAAAATCACGGGTTAACCAAGCGATTTTATCATTTACTTCAACTTAATTTGTTATTTTGACGGCAAATTATTTGTCTGACACTCGAAATCTTCCGACACATCCGCCTTCCTTATCTCTTCTACATTTATAGAAATAGCTTCAGTTTGAACATTTTCTTTCTTTCTGGGCGTCGAGTGTTTCTTTATTGTATGGACAGACACTACGCGCATAACGCACTGAATTTTAATGACACAATCTTAAGGAGATTAAGAAAAAATCGTGTGGTTAGAAAAAACTTTGTGAGCGTGCGCTTCTCCCTTGAGTTTTAAATTTCCAGGAAGAAAAAAGAAGGAATAATTTAACGTTTTTATTTTAACGTTTTCCATCGTAAATGGTATGCCTAAGAAGTTCTTAGATTTTTTATTCGGATTTCACTTTCTTTGGAGCATTTGGTTCTGACGAGAAAAAATACGATGATTGCTTCGACAGTAGCAGATGTGCAGCGATACTAATGACATATATTTCCGTTTTTTTTTCTGTGTGCCGTAACCGCAGCATTGAAAATTGTCGGTTTTTTATTTTTCATTTAAATTCAATCAAAACAGAATGCTGTCATATGTTCAATGCAAAAAAAAAATACGTTTTAAATAATTAGGCTCAAAGTATCGACGGAAAAATATGAATTTTGTTCAAGTAACTCCGGTTTGCTTATGGTCACTGAATAGATTCATATTTCGCTTACGTGCTTCGCTACAAAGAGAATATCATGTCATGCTTCAATTACCCGCCAACAATGGCACTGTCAGAGATTCAAATCGTTTCAGCACCTTTGTGAATATTTAATTCGCAGTAATTGGTCGCCGTTGCCGTGCAAAGTCGGCAAATGGACAAAGGCTACTTTGTGAACCCTTTGCCATCCATTCAAATTGTAACACGAAAAGTTCTATTTTCTTTTCTTTGAATAGTCACGAGCCAACTAGACGTGCGTTTCGTAACTGATGCAACCAAAGGGGTTGCGTCACAAATGACCACTTTCAAAGAAACACTGTGAAACTGTTGTCTCTTTTGTAGCAACTGTCTGGTGGAATTCTTCAAAAGAACTTTGAGCTACAAAAACACTGTGTCGCACGTCTATTTGTCATATTCTTTATGTGTTAGGGGAATCGAAAGATCAAAGGGAATGATTTATTTTTCTCAAACACCAAACAAAAGTGGTCACTCTTTTGCCACGGTCAATTCGTCTTCGTTGAATATTTATGTGCTCGTTAGAAGGAGAACAAAAATGTTGTCGTATATTTTTCGTTCTCGAAAGATATAGAGAAAAAAGCATCATGTTTGACTTACCATTGTTTACTGTGTTGGTTTCACCGTCGTTTCCATCGATTTTTGTGCTGCTGTTTTCGTTTCGTTCGCGTTTGATTTCTAAACTGTTACTGCTGTCTGCGCTATTTCCACGCTTTTGTTCATCATCTGAGTTGCTGTTGTTTTCTAACGAATTGAGTTCCGATTGTTTTGATTCGGAATTTTCATTTTCGTTTTCGTTTTCATCTGCGGTTGATGAATTGAATAGAAAAAAAAATCGGTATAAAAATAACTGTTCCTCGAATACGGGTGCGTATAATAGCTTAACCTAGAGATGCCATAGAAAATTGATGCTCACCATCAGGTGTTAGTCTTTTTGGTGTGCTCGATGCACCGTCACCACTCAAGAAACCAGGACTAGCTAGAGGTGGTGTGTGAACGCGTGACGATGAACTGGATGGTTTTCGTGTGGAAATTGGCGCTGAAATCGACGGCCGTCGATTTACAAGACTCAACGGTCTACCATCTTCTGAGTCTCTGTCACCGGTTGTACCACCTTTGAAAATTAAGTGAAATGAATTTGTTAAAATCAATAGTTGAAAACGTTTTTATTCTTTTCCATGTAGGTGACCGAATGTGAGAGTGATGAATTCTTACCTTGTGGGAAGCACTGGCCATAATTTTCTTTGTTGCACTGCAAAACTTTGTGCTGAATGAATTTAACGATGTCGCCGAGTGCAAATGTTTTTTGACACGAGCCACATGTTAGTATATCCTGTATAGCTCCAGGTTCTGCTGTTGATTCAGATTCTGCTGCAAAATGGAAAAGAAGGAGAACGAGAGCGGGCGTTAGTGATGTCATTGGATTGGTATCGATTGAGAATAACTACACATAGGCGAATCAAATGCGTTTGTTAAATGCACACGAGAATAAGCCAATCAAATATTTATTCAATATGTACGGGGCAAATGTGACACAGGGATAAAATGAGAACAGTCGTCTCTCTTTCTCCCTCTCTCTCTCTCTCTCACTCTCTCACTTATTCTCAACTGGTGTTGCGACCAATTGCACAAATAAACAAAATGTGAGGATGTGGATAACCTCGCGGATTTTAATAAAATATAAATACATATCCAATAAAATACAGACGCTCACTGGTCCATATGTCTAAATGTAACATTTATGGAATTTTCCAGGCGATGCAAGCATCGACAGAAGCACACAGCAGTATAATCTCTTTAAGTACTACCCTTTGGCCGTTAGTGTCAGAAACCGTATGTCAAAATTTATACGGGTGCACAGGCGAAGTGAGGGCATCGAGAAAGCGAAGCATTTACGTTCATTTTCACACATTCGACGATAATTTTGCTTGCGGCTAAGCAATGTATCGTGTGAGTGCGAGTGCGAGTGCGAGTGAACACTTTGCAACTAGTAAAATACAATCGCAGCAACCAACCAAACCACCTCCGAATTCGGTAGTTTTGTGTTCCGTTTCGCTTTTGTGGTCGTTGTTCGTTCGAAAGCGATATTCCTAATAAAAGTCCTTTTTGCTAAGTGCTACTTTGGCACAAATTCACTGCGAGATTATAATTATTACCCCAAAATAACCATTTTGGTATTTCGTCGCATGCATGGACTTGCGATACCAGTCGCCTAAATACATGGATATAAACAGCGATGAAGAAATTAATGGTGCAATTCATTAGAAGCATTTCGATGGTTTTTATTTTCGCACCAAGCGAAGAAAAATCACTTCAAGTGTCTTAAGTGATTCGGTTTTTCTCGCACCCATTTGCAGTGAATTATTCGTACAGTTTTTCCGATTAATTGAAAACTATTGGCTGGGCGCGCTTGTGCCGTGGCATCGAATGCAGCAATAAAAACCAAAACCAAAAATATAAACTGTGCTGAATAAATTATGAACGGATTTCTGTTTGTTATCGATGGATTCGACGGTCGGCATTATGTAATTCGATTATGTGCGCTGATGGCCAGAAACTCGCACAACAGTATCAATGAAGAGGATTGCCATCCGAAGGAAACCGAACGCTATGCGCTTTTATAACAGTATTAATAAATCCCTGACGTCGAATACTTATCAAATTATCGTCGGCCCCAGTCTGTGAGCCACCAACCAACATATCTCCAGATGTATTTGCGTAAGCAATAGAAGAGGAAAAAAAACGCATTAAATTGGCCACTGTTGAGGTAGAAGAAAAACTTTCCACTGATGATATATTTGGTGGTGAGGGATTTGATTCATTTGGAGACTGTGTATTTGTGTGTGTGCACGGACACCGAACTTGTAATTCAATAAAAAATACGACGTCTGGGAGATGCGTATTGGCACTTCGACGTCAGCAAACTACGTATTCCATCGAATTGATTTGCCACGCAAAACGAAGCTGGTCCTTGATCCGCAAATGAACACCTTGACAAATGACATACTTCAAAATCAAAAGGACGTTTTTTTTCATAGAATTCATACACTTTGCTTACTTCGAACATATTGAAAAACTGGTACACACATTGCAATTCCAAATATTGGATAATATTGAGTTATTTTTTCTTCATATCTGTCAATGTTTGGTGTGTGTGCCTGCATAAAAATGTCGTATGGTCTGGTCTGCCTGTGCGGCTGTTTACCCCTTTTTCCGAGCATTCATTTTTATTGAATGTGAAATGGATATTGACGGCATTACATCAAATCGATGCACTAATGCAATTGACACATTTCGCTTTGGTTTGGGCAAAACTGTCAAAATCAATGGGAAATACATCTGATACACAAAAAACAATTCAGTCATGAATAAATAGAATCGTCTCACTCGCTCGTTGCATATACTTTCAGACATCGGATCAATCCACCCTTTCCCGGCAAAAGGATTAATAGATACGGTATTTTTCGATATGGCCATTGGTTTTTCCATATTTCTACCACATTATGATGGCTTCGAAGCGAATCGATTGAATTGATTGCAAGCGGTTTACGTCACATTGCGATTCGCTATGCAGATAAAATCGAACGCATTCGCCAATGAATATCAATGGCAGCTAATTGTAATTTCTATATTAATTGCCACGAGAATCTTAATGAAGGCTATTAAATAAAACCATCAATTTATGGAGTAATGTCGCGACCGAGAAAATATTATGCTGATTTCTGTTGTTTCGAAGCAGATAAATGTGTGATTGGTATAATTTTCGGTGCTATGAACTATTAAATTATGATTTTAATCAGAAGAAAAGTAATAATCAAAGTCATAAAGTTCGAATCTATGGCGATCTTTGCTTGATTCCAATCAAAATAGTTGCGCTACATAAGTATATTTTCATTTGATTGTAAAAAAAGTTTTTGTAGCAAATGAATTGTGAATCGTTGTGTTAGCTCAGCCATTTTCGATCATCAAAAAGGGTTTTAGCGCTAAAAGTATTAGCTCTAACTTCTGAATCATTCTAAACAAAACCAAATCAATTGTTGGATTTCGATTGTTATTTTAACGCGCACATCAGCTTCTGTTGGCTTAATACTTTTCACCCCACAGTTCGATTGTGCGCATTTCTATTAATTGATTGCTCAATATCGGACCTCCGTTCGGCTCGCAGCAATACTCACTCAACCGAAACTGCCCTTTTAACACATTTTTCCCATCCGAACATTTTTTTTCGTCTTTGTACGACAAAAAGAGCATTTTTACTCAGTTTAGATTTGCTATCAGCTTTAACTAACGAACCAAATAATTCACATTTGTTTGACTCAAAATGACTAAAATAACTGACCCGAAACACACAAACTGATTATTTCGGGTAGATGTGTGGATCAAACTCCAACAGTTTGTGGAAAATGTTTATACTGGAAAAAACAAGTTCGTTCCATTCGAAAAAAGCGCGAACGAAAATGATGAAAAAAATTGTGCGTCAAAAATAGTTTTTAAGCCACTGCACCGGAAAAACTAAAATAAACATTCAAGTACTCGAAGTGAGCCATTAACATCGACATATATGAAAAACAAGGGAAAAACGCACAAAACCAACACAGCCGATATAACTGGATCAAAGATAAACCGCTCCATTAAAACGGTAAACATAACCCAAATTCGCATTGCGTTCAGCTGAGAGAGTGCGTCGCGAGCGTTATTATACTTTTTTCTGTTATGAACTTCAGTTTTATTATTTCGCCTCGTTTACGATGTGATTGCTTGAAAAACAGTTTAAAGAATGTGTTTTTCTCTCTCGTTGTTGATCGTTTAAAAGGTATTTTCGCAACCCTAATTGCATTCCGGCAAAGGCAAATCTCAAATCTCGGTGAGTAATGTTTTGTAATTGAAGGTGAACCAGATTCGATGGATTTCTTTTTTCTCTTCACACATTTCGGAATGTGTGAGCATTTGTGTGTGTGCCTTATGCGTGAGTTGAAAAAATGCGGCACGGAAAATTGCATAACGCAACGACTCAAGCGACAATTATTAGAATGAATGGTGTATGTGTGTGTGCATCGTAGCCGAAACCCCGATTGAGATCGAAAAGGTGCAATACCGTTCAAACAATATCAACATTCTGTGCTTTAGTATTGTAATTGGAATCATTTTGCGTCAGGGTTTTCTTTCTGTATACCCATTCAAAAAATAAAATTTATTATATTGTTAGTGCTGCTATGAAAGTTTTGTTATTACTTTCTGTAGTTGACTTTGATTTTATGTGCATTTGGGTTTAAAGAGATGGGAACAAAAAGAGGAGAAAAAAAGAAGTGAACTCAACAGCTAGTACATGTTTGATGTAAACCGACATTTTGAAACAATTAGTAAATAATAATTTGAACAGAAACAATAACGATTTTTTGTAGCACACAATTTAATAAGAGCAAAACTTGTTTGGAGTCTCGTTCATTCGTTCAAACTGCTGTGTTCGGAATTGTTTGCTTTTTCTGTTTTTTTTTGATGGTCTAATATTTGAAATTTTCGGGCCCACAGTATTATCGAAAGCCACACAAGCAACATGTGTGATCACAAAATGACCCACCCTCATTTCGGCAACAATACAAAAAAGATATTCCATATTTTTGGCTGTGCGGCGAATTGCCTATCGCCAACCTTCCTTCCTTCAATTCAATTGAACTGAATCGAACCTGAAATACATCTGCGATTGTTCAGCAGCCAAAAATGAGAGGGAATGTCTGGCCATTCGTCACGTTAAATGAATCCATTCGGAAATTCATCGAAAATTGTAATAGGTTCGGTGCGTCATTACGGGATGCCACATGAATTTCGTCAATTGGAATAAATTCCCATTTTTCGTTTGAAAACATCTGCGGTCAAAAAAATATCATTCTATACCGAGCAAGCGAGTAATTTCGCAAAAATTTGCTGTAGAGAATTTCAGCCAAAGTGAGCGCACGACGAAATGAAGTCATCAATGATAAATGTTGCACTCAACAAGGAAATTCATTTGACTGCATGCCGTTTAATTCTCTGCTAAAAATAATTTGATTTCATTTGTGGAAATATCTAAAATAAATGCATTTCAACCAATTCAAACCGCCAAATTGAAAATGAAAATTTAAATGGAAACTACAATTCAGCAATTTGAAATGAAATCCTGCATTCCCAATTAAACACTGCTGTTACATTAGTGGTTTTTTGTGTAGCTTGCGTGGAAACTGCATTTTGAAATGGAACACTAAAAATGCGAGTTGCCATGAAAACACAACTTTGCCATTTCGTTGATAATGTTTAATATTAGCGCATTTGAAAGATCCGAATTAGCAGTATCTACCGTTTGCATTTTTTATTTTATCAAATAGACGCGGCGTATA